CAAGTACCACAAGTGGGTGACTTTAATGAACAGAAATTTATTTTCTCACAGTTTAGAAGGCTAAAATTCCAAATTCAGGTCACTGGCTCTAGGGGAAGGCTTTCTCTCTCTGTCGGCTCTGGGTGAAGGTGATTGTCTCTTTTCAGTTTCTGTTTCTTGGCTCCTTGATCTTCATATGGCATGGCGTCTATCTTCCCCATCTGTGCTTCTTTGCTTCTGTGCCTAATCTGCTCTTTTTACATCTGAAAAGTGATATGGTTTAGGATACACCCTGCATTGATATGGCCTCATTAACATAACAAATTAAACTATTTCTAAATGGGATTATATCCACAAGTATAGGAGTTAGTATTCCAACACATATTTTTGGGGTACACAATTCAACCCATAACAATCTTTTACCCTGTGACTCAGCTAAATTAACTTACTAGCTCTAGTAGCTTTCTTGCAGATTCTTTGGGATTTTCTATATATAGGATAATGTCATCTGCCAGTGTAGTTTTACTTTTTCCTTTCTGATTTGGTTGCCTTTTATTTCTTTTCCTTGCCTAAGTGTTCTTTTTAGAACTTCCAGTGTAATGTTCAATAGCAGGGGTAAAAGCATGAATCATTTTCTTGTTTCTAATCTTAGTGGGAAAGCTTTTAGTCTTTCTCCACTGAGTATGATGTTAGCTGTGGGTTTTTCAATGCCATTTATCATGTTGAGGAATTTCCCTTCAATTCCTAGTTTGCTGGGTGTTTTTATCATGAAAAGGTGATGTTTTCTGCATCAGTTGAGATGGTCTTACGGTTTTTTTCCTTTGTGCTATTCAGTATTACATTGGATGACTTTCTAATGTTGAAGCACCCTGGCATTCCTGGGATAAATCCCACTTGGTCATAGTGTATAATCCTTTTAGTACAGTGTTGGGTTTGGTTTTCTACTATTTTGTTGTTAATTTTTGCAGCTATATTTATAAGGGATTCTGGTCTATAGTTTTCTTTTCTGGTGGTGTCTTTATCTGCCTTTGGTATCTGGGTAATATTGGCCTCTTCGAATGAGTTAGGAAGTGTTTCTTCCCCTTCTGTTTTTACGAAGAGTTTGAGAAGGATTGATTTCAATTTTTATTTAAATGTTTGGTAGTATTCCCCCAATGAAGCCACCTTATCTTGAACTTTTCTTTGTTGGGAAGTTTTTGATTACTGATTCAATCGCTTTACTTGTTATAGATCTTTTAAGATTTTCTATTTCTTCTTGAGTCAATTTAGATAATTTTGTGTTTCTACAAATTTGTGCATTTCATCTATGTTATCTAATTTGTTGCTGAAAAGTTCTTAATTTTGATTAAATCCAATTTATTTTTTTTGTTTTGTTGCTCATGCTTTTGGTTATCATATCTAAGAATCCATTGTCAAAAACTAAGTCTGACGCTTTATCCCTGTTTTCCTCCTAAGAGTTCTCTAGTTTCAGTTCTTATATTTAGGTCATTGACAATTGAGCACTTTTTCAGTTATTGTCTATGTGTATCTCCTCTTTTGTGAAGAACCTTTTCAGTCATTTGTCTCTATTCTTAATAGTTGTTCGCCTTTTTCTTATTGATTTGTAGGAGTTATTTATGTATTCTACCTTCAAGTTCTTTATCTTTTATTTGTGTAGCAAATATCTTTTCCCATTCTATGGCTTTTTCCCCCTATCTCTTTATGTTATTTTTAATGTAGTTGAATTTATTAATCTTTTCCTTAATGATTAGTGCTTTTTCTATCTTAAGAAATCCTTCCATACTTATATCTTGCTGGTGGAAGTGCAAAATAGTATAACTCCCATAGAGTGGAATTTATCAATATTTAGAAAATTTTGTATACACTTGCCCTTTGTCTCAGCAATACCACTTCTTGGAATCTATTAGGGAAATGTACTTTAAAAATACAAAATCCTGTAGGCACAAGGCTGTTCATCAGCACATTTGTAATAGCCAAAGAGTAGATAGAATACCAGTGTACATCAGTAGGGATATAGTCAAATAAACTATGGTTTATTCATACAGTGGAGTACTGTGCAGCTATAGGAAGGAATGGAAAGAGCTCTACACATTCATATGGAGTCACCTCAAGGATATATTGTTAAGTCCAAAAAAATAAGTTGCAAAACAACGTTAATAGTAAGTTTCCTTTTATGTAGGAGAAGGGGGTAAACAATTAATTAAGTATATATTTGCCTATTTGCTTTTATTTTCAAAAAAGAAACAATGGAACCATAATCTGAAACCTAATAAAAACTATTACTTATAGGGAAGGAAGGGAACCGGATGAAGGCACTAGAGATGAAAATGCGACTTCTGTAAAGGCACTGTGTTTATAGTTTTTACATTAACCATTGCTGTCAAGTCAATTCCGACTATAGTGACCCTACAGGACAGAGTAGAACTGCCCCATAGGGCTTCCAAGGAGCAGCCAGTGGATTCCAACTGCCAACCTTTTGGTTAGCAGCTGAGCTCTTAACCACTGCATAATTAAAAAACAAATATAAATCAATAACGAAAAAAAAAATCAATCCCTAAAATTAAAAAACAACTTGAAGCAAATGAATCTAACTATAAATAAAGTTAGTAGCATAACCACACAAAAAAAAACAATTACCTAATGTGACTTTAAAACCTAATATTTGAACATTCCTGTTGGGATATATTCCAAGGATAAAAGTAACTGCAAAGAAATATAAAATTGTACTCAGTAGTTTTATTATTTTTGCTAGTGCTGCTGTAACAAAAGTACCACCAGTGGGTGGCTTTAAAGAACAGAAATCTATTTTCTCGTGATTCAGGAGGCTAGAAGTGTGAATTCTGGGCACTGGCTATAGGGGAAGGCTCTCTGTGGACGCTGGGGGAAGATCCTTGTCTCAGCTTCTATAGCCCTGGCATCCCTTGGCCATCGTCACATGGCATCTATCTCTTACCCCTCCCATTTGTGCTCGTTCCTATATCTAATCTGCTCTTTTTGTAACTCAGAAGTGATTAGGTTTAAACACACCCTACAATGATACAGTCTCATTAACATAACAAAGAACACCCTATTCTCAATGGGATTACATCCACAGTTATAGGGGTTAGGATTCCAACACTATTTTGGGGGGACACAATTCAATCTATATCAGTTAGTAACATATTAGTATTATTATTGACATTTTAAAATTCTATAGTATA